CCTCAGTTCTGAGCCAGCCTCCCCCTGCCCACTCCCACCCCCCAGCCCTGCCTGACCGGTTAGCAGCACTCACGTGTCTGGGCCTCGGCCAGCTCGGCCTCCGCCACTGCCCGCGGGCCCCCCAGGCTCCGCGCCCGCATCTCCCGGAGCAGACGCTCCACTTGCGCCAGCGTCCAGCTCAGCGTCTCTCCTGAGGGGGCCGAGGCGTTGGCTGGCGTCAGATGGCCCATCTGGGCTGCGAGCTCTGTGGGGCCGAAGGTGGTCAGGGCTGAAGGCTGTGCGGGCAGCCTCTTGGCGCGGCTTCCGCTCTGCTTCACTCCCTGGTGAGCTCGGGTAGAGAGCATGCTGGCCTTCCGCCTGGCCTTCCCCAGGTGCCCGGCTCGGCCAGCCCCACCTCCCCATGGCCCCCCTCGTCCCTCCTTGCCAGCTGGCTCACGCCCAGCTAGAAGGGCACTTTCTCTTGGACTCCTGGGCTAGGCTGGGCCCCACTGCGCCAGCCCAGGGAGCCACCATTTTTGCGTGTTCAAGGCCTGTTTGTCATGAAGGAAGTGGCCAGTTTGACTACCTGCCCACTGCTGCCCAGTTTGGCCCATCTCACGCGGTCCACTTGGACTCATCAGCCCCTTGCGCACATCCTGAGCACACCACACACAGCTAAGCACGCACCCCTGCCAGTTCTCCCAGGACATGCTCGGGCGAGACCCCAAGGACACCCCTCTGTCCCAGCAGCCCTACCGCTCAGGGCACGGTCCACAGCCCGGATCTTCTCCAGCAGCGTCTGGGCCCGACCCTGTGTGACCTCGGTGCTGTCCAGCAGTCGACCTGCCTGGTCTCGGGCTCCAGCGGCCTGCGGATATGAGCTTCAGCCACATCCAACTAGTGGGAGCATGGGGGGGGGGGGCATGGCCCGGGTGACAGGGACGGCCGGGCACAGTGCGGCTGGGAAATGGGGAAGCTCCAGAGGGTGAGGAACCCCGGGGTGCTCCCGGGAGGGGCACGCAGGCACTTGGGGCAGGGGCTGCAGGGGTCCTGCCTGGCTGTCCAGCTGCTGTGCGTCCTGCACAAGGCTTGTGCTCTGTCGCTCTAGAGTCTGCAGCCGCTGCACCGTCTTGTGACGGGGATCTGGTGGACCCCGGAGCTGGGTCTGAGGGGAGCAGGAAGTGAGGGCCTGAACCGAGTGGGGGAGGGAGGAGAGGGAGCAGGCGGCACGAGGCACCTTCAGGTCGGCGATGGAGACGTTCAGCCTGTGCAGCCGCGCCCAGGCCGCTGAGCTGGTGTTGAGGCTGCGGAGCTGCTCTCGAATGGCGGGGAGGATGGCGCCAGCCCGCTCCAGGTCGTCCAGAAGCAGGACCACACAGTGGTCACACACTGCGGGCAACGAGGGCCCCGGGTCAGCGGGGGCGGGGCTGGGGCAGGGACTGGAGGGTCACAGGATTGTGGCAGGGGTCACCGTGGGGTCAATGGGTCAACACGGAGCCAGACGTGCCAGAGAAATGAGGTCAGTGTGAGGAGGTCACAGGATAAAGAGGTCTTGGGGTTCAGCCAGAGATCATGGGGTTGGCACAGTCTGAGCAGAAGGGGTCAGAGGCTGGCATGGGGTCATCACGGAGGTTGGGATGGAACAGGGCAGGTGCAGGACCAGCCGGATGCGGTGCCCACTTGAGTGCTGGGCAGGGTTGGAGGCGGAGGGGCCCGCAGTCCACAGAAGGACAGGGACGGAGGGGGCCGGGACCCCCAGGGCCAGGGTGCAGGTGGTCATCGGGTCAGGACAGGGCTGGGAGGGGCAAGGGGCTGACCTTCGCAGTGGATGCCGTGGCCTCCAGGCCCGCCTGGCACGGGCACCTGGTGCTGTTGGCTACACACATCGCAGCGGTCCCCTCCGAGCCCTGGGGGGCACGTGCAGCGGCCGGTGCGCGGGTCACAATGGCCTCCCGGGCACTGGCAGCCTGTAGAGAGGCCGGTGAACATGGCGCTCCCCCTCACCCCCCCGCGGGGCTGTCCCCAGCCCTCCTGGGGCCCGCCCGCCTCCACTCACGCCTGCAGCCGTGCTCCGGGAGCCCCCAGTGGCCAGGGGCACACTCACGGCACTGGGGTCCCGTGGTCCCCGGTCGGCATCGGCACTGCCCGCTCTGGGGGTGGCACTGCGGGCCTTCGGCGGCCGGTCCACAGGCACAGGGGCGGCAGCCCTGACAGAGCTCGAAGCCAAAGTGTCCTTCCTGCAGGACAGGCTGCAGTGACGCCCTGCCCAGTCCCAGGAAACCCCTGGACGCGGGGGCGCAGGCCTCCTCCCCGCCCGGGCGTGTGGGCTCCGGCCTCCCCTCCCCTCCCCGCCAGGACAGCAGATACATGTGTGAGGTCATCGAGGACAGGGCATTCTCCTCCTGTCCCCCGTCTGCCCAGGCCCTCCCCCCCACACACCTGACAGCGGTCGCAGCGTGTCCCGGCCACACCCGCCTTGCACACGCAGCGCCCGGTCTGGGGGTCGCAGGCCTCCGTCCCGCACAGCGAGCAGTCACACCCTAAGGGAAGGGGTGCTGTGACTTCCTAGTCCACTACAGCCATTCCCCCCCCCACCTTCCTGCTCACACCCCAGAGCCACCACCGCCCTGGTTGAGCCGGGCCTTCCTCTCCCAAAGCCTGACAGGCCCCTGAGTGAGCATGCACGGGGGTGGGGTGGAGTGCAGAGCCCGTGACGGGGTCCTGACCACGACGGGGGTGGGGGGCGCCCTCCCGCCCGCTGCACGCGCCTGTCCCTGGGGTGCGCCCCGCGGCTCCGCCCCCGCCTACGCGTGCAGTTGCCGGGGAGCAGGGCGTTCCCGTAGAAGCCGGGGGCGCACGCCTCACAGCGGGGCCCGGTGGTATGGCGCAGGCAGCCGCGGCAGGCGCCGGTCAGGGGGTCGCAGTCACTGAAGAGCAGGTTGGGGTCCCCGTTGCCGCTGCAGTCGCAGGGCTGGCAGGAACTGCCCAGCACTAGAGGGTTCCCGAAGAAGCCAGGTGCACAGCTGGCACGCAGAGAGGGCCGTTGGGTCAGGCTGGGGCCGCCCCGCGCGGTCCCAGTCTGCACTCTGCCCGCCCGCCCCGCGCCGCGCGGTCCCGGTCTGCGCTCTGCCGCCCCACGCAGTCCCGGGTCTGCGCTCTGCCCGCCCGCCCTGCGCGGTCCCGGTCTGCACTCTGCCCACCGGCCGCTTACCGCTCGCAGGAGGCCCCGGCGTAGCCAGGCTTACACAGGCACTGGGCCTGTCCTCCTCGCAGCACGCAGCCCTCCGCGAAGCTGAGGACGAGAGGAGGCCAGCCGCTGCTCACCTGCCCTCCCGGCCCCGGGCCAGCGCCCGGCCAGCACCAGGGGCCGGGTTCTCCCCGCTGCAGCTGCCAGTGGAGGGCACGGGGAGGGGAGCGGTGGAGGGGGGCGGTGGAGGGGGTCAGGCAGGGAGAGGCTCCCGCGCCATCAGGGCCTGGCTCGGCTTACTTGTTGGAAGGTGCTGCGAGCGGGCAGGGACAGCTGACACAGGGGGCTGCGGGGTCCCCGGCCCCACCGCTCACAAAGCCGGCCCGGCAGCGCTCGCAGTGGTCGCCCTCGGTGTTGTGCTGGCAGCCCTGGGCAGTGCAGACGGGGCCGGCAGTGAGCGGGGCCCCGCCACACCGCGCCATGCACCCCAGGCCTCCGTGGATTGAAGGCCACCAGCCTCTTCTGTGGCCCGCCCGCCCACCCATGCTTTGGTGGCTGAGCCTCTTCCACCACTCACCACACAGATGCCAGAGCCGGGGAGGCAGCGGTCTGAGTGGCCGTGGCACTGACAAGGGACACAGCGACCCAGGAAAGGCCCTTTGGTGTCACGGAAGTAGCCAGGGGCGCATTCCTGGGGAAGGGGAAAGGGGAAGGGGGCCAGTGACTGAGAAAAGGCAGAGCCAGCCCAAGGCTGAGCAGAGCTGGGGGGGGGGGCTGCTCCCAGTCAGACCCCAGGGCTCTGCATTCCCCAGCCACGGCTGTGGGGCAGGGTGCCCTGCAGCTCAGGGGCCGGGGCTAGGCTGCAATCGGGAGCTCCCGACGGGGACAGGCCAAAGGTCTAGCCGCTGGCTCCTAGCCCAGAGAACCTGGATCCCACAGCCACACCACCACAGAGCCTCAGGAAGGACCAGACCCTGGAGCCAGTGGCCAGGGCCTCCTCCTCTACCCCAAGTGCCTCTTTCTAGCCTCTTTCTGAAATGGCCGAGCCGCCTTCGACTAGACAGAGTAGAGCAGAGGAGCACAGGTAAGGAAGCGTTAGCCGGACGTTAGGATGGACGGTGGATGGCAGCCGGGTGGGCGCTGTGGGGAGGGCTGGCCGGGAGAGAAGCTGACAGTGCAGTGGTGACCAGGAGCAGCGGCAGGGACAAGCCGGGGAACTGAGGCAGGAGGGTGAGCGGCTGCGAGCAGGCACGGGCTCAAGCGAGGGCTGCGTGGCGGGGCAGCCTCGGCCGGCCCCCCGGCCCCCCCTCACCTGGCATGAGTCGCCGCGGTAGTTGGCAGGACACATGCACACCTCCACGTTGCTGGCCGGAGGCCCCATGCTCATCTCGCCAGCTACCTCCAGTACCACCCTACGCAGGGAGACCGAGTTGGCCAAGAAGAGGGCGCGGATCTGCAGCTGCTCCAGGCTGGCCAGGACCATCATGAGTTCCTCCCGGGACACAGCGTTGTGGGTCTCCATGTGCCGGAAGTTCCCCTGGGGACGAAGACATGACCTCAGCGGACGACACCCAAGGACGAAGAGGGACAGAGCCTCATGTGAGGGACAGGCAGAGACAAACGCAGGACAGAGGCACACACAGACCAGGGGGTGGGACTTCCACCGGGAAACCAGCAGCGGACCCCTACCTCACACCACACACCACATCCAGGCGTGTGAAGAATTACAATGTTTAAGCTCTTAGAAGAAAATACACGCTAAGTGCTTTCTGACTTGGGAGAGAAATACTTCCTTAAAAAATGTGAAAACACTAACCATACGTGAAAAAATAGATAAGGTGGTAAGTATTAAGAATTATTCGTCCAAAGACATCTTTCTTTTTTGGGGTGAGTACTAGGATTTGAACTCAGGGCTTTGAACTCTACCATTAAGCCATACCTCCAGCCCTTTTTAGCACTTTTTTTTTTCTGGGGGGCCGGTTGTGGGGCTTGAACTCTGGGCCTGGGCGCTGTCCCTGTGCTTTTCAGCTCAAAGCGAACGCTCTACCACTTGAGCCACAGCGCCACTTCCAGTACTCTGAGTAGTTTCATTGGAGATAAGAGTCTCACAGACTTTCCTGCCTGGGCTGGCTTTGAACCGTGATCCTCAGATCTCAGCCTCCTGAGTAGCTAGGATGACAGGCATGAGCCACCAGTGTTCAGCTCAAAGGTAATTTTTAAAATATTTTATAAAGTCTATGTTGAGATTATAAGTGCTGTGCCTATTAAATCTTCCCTCGCTTATTTGGCAACTATAATTTTTTTTTTCCAGTAGTGGGGATTAATCCAGGGCAGGAACTCTACCTGGGGGGAGGCAATCCATGGTCAACGGACATCTCAGGGAAAAGCAAGAATGGCCTGTAGATACAGATACTTCCCTGACAAAGAGTATTAACAGTGAACTCCTCTACACAGGCAAGGAAGAGACCACAAGTCAAAGAGACTTGGTCAAAAGATGAAGGGGTGGGGCCACAGAGGAAGGAGCCAATCACAGAGCGGTGTGAAGCGCTCAAGACCCATGGCTGGGAAGGTGGCTCAGTGGTAGAGCGCTTGCCTTGCATGCCTGAGGCCCTGGGTTTGATTCCTCAGCACCACATAAGCAAAACGAAAAAAGCCGGAAGTGGCGCTGTGGCTCAAGTGGTAGAGCGCTAGCCTTGAGCTGAAGAGCTGAGGGACAGCGCCCAGGCCCAGAGTTCAGGCTCCACAACTGGACCCCCCCCCAAAAAAACAAAAAACAAAAGATCCATGGCAGTCAAAGACCCATCACGTGTCATCAAAGCATCCATCGTGTTTATGAGGTGACCAGACAGAAAGCCTACGCCCCCCACAGCCAGTGCCCTGCAGCCCCCCCGTCCCCCCACAGTGTCAGTACCCTGCAGCCGCCCCGTCCCGCCACGGGGCTGTTTTCCACAGTGGGCGTGGCCTTCTGTGGCTGTGCGGGTCCAGCCAGTGCTACTCACCTCCACCAGCTGCAGCCGCCCGTGATGAACATGGCCAGGTGCGGGGTAGGACGGCTCTAGGTATGTGATGCTCATCTGGTTGCCCTGGGAGACGCACAGGCCAGGTTAGTGCGGCCTATGGTCCCAGCTGTCCCCTCCCGCCTGCCCGTCCTGCCACGTCCACCCCCTCCTGCTACCTGCAGTACCACACCCGGCCTGCTCTCGGTCGGGAAGAAGACGTCTCCCCGCTGGGTCTCGGAGTGCAGCTCGTAGCGGAGGGTCCCTCCGTAGGACGACACCTGGAGCCAGGACAGTTGGGTGACCTGGCCAGACCCTGGCCGTGGACCCCGACGGTGGCCTCCCCACCCCATTCCTTGGAGCCGGGCCCAGGAGCCCTCCTCGCGACACCGGCCCTGGGCGGGGGAGCCTCTGGCTCCTCTGCAGCTGGCCCCCAGCTGTGCTGGGCACCCTTACCACGCTCCTGGCCCCTGGCCATAGTTCATTCTTAGGGAGCATAGCCACTCCAACGTGTGTCCTCCAAACCTAATGCCTTTGCTCACCCGATCTCCAAGGTAGGAAGGAGGCGCCTGCCAGTACAGCTCCGGGCTGCTGTCGACCACGTGCCGCAGGTCTGCGTAGAGCCACGTCCCTTCCCGATGCTCATGGGGGACCACCTGCCGGTCACTGCTCAGCAGCGTCCAGCCCTCCATGTCCGTGAACTGTGGGCGCACGGGGGTCATGTGGGGTGGGTGCCCGTCCCCGCATGCTGCCCCCCACTGGCCGGGGTCACCGGGCTGGCTGTCCCGAGCGGATACCTCGCGGCGGGCGTGGGCGGAGCTCCGGCAGCGCTCGGTGGCTCCAAAGCAGAAGCAGCGGGTGCAGCCCTTGGGGTTGGAGGCATCGAGGGAGAAGGCCCCCACTCGACACTGGTCACACCTCGGGCCCTGCACGTTCTCCTGGGGACAGCAGAAATGACAGGAGTGTGCGGGGGCCTGGCCGCAGCCCGCGGCAGCCCCGCGGCCCCCTGCTCTCCAGACAGGGAAGCTGTGTGGAGGGGCCCCGGCGCGGCTCCACTCACCTTGCAGTGGCACTGGCCTGTGAGGGCGTCACACACGCTGGGCGCCGTGCCCGCCCCGTGGCAGTCACAGGGCTGGCAGCTGGGGTACCCGTAGAAGCCCGGCGCACAGCTGTCACAGCGGCGCCCGGACACGTTGGGCCGGCACCTGCCAGAGCAGAGGGCAGCTGAGCCTCCCGCACCCAGACCTTTATTGTATGTATTTTTTAATGCCAGTAGTGGGGCTTGAACTCTGCCTCACACTCGTACTTGGCTTTTTTTCTGCTCAAGGTTGGCATTCTTCCATTTGAGCCATACCTCCACTTCTGGCTTTCTGCTGGGAGAGCCAGCAGGTAAAATCTCACGGACTTTCCTGCCTGGCTGGCTCTGAACCTCGATCCTCAGATCTCAGCCTCCTGAGTAGCTAGGATGACAGGCGTGAGCCACCGGGGCCTGGTTCCACTCTCAGCTTGCTGGCAAAGGTGAGAGGACACAGAGCCCTCCACCCAGGGCCCTGGGGCCACCAAGAACCAAACGGGATGGGGCAGACACCGGGCCCTCTGGGCAGCCGTGCCCGACCCGAGACCACCCAGGGCCCCGGGGCTTCCAGGCTCACTTGCACTGGCCGCTGTCCGTGTCACAGGTCGGGTCAGTCAGCTCCTGCACGCCGGGCCCGGAGCAGTTGCACTCCTCACAGCCAACCAGGGGGTGGCAGCCGAAGGTCCGGGGCTGGCAGACCAGGCAGTCGGGGGGGACGGTGCGCGGCGGGCAGATGCACCGGCCCGTGAGCTCGTCGCAGAGGCGGGCCCCGCAATCACAGGCTGCGGGGGTGGACATCGCCAGCTGACCCGAGCCCTCGGCCCCGCTCTGCCGCAGCTGCAGACCGTGGGGCTTGCGGGTGGCGCCTGTGACTCCCGCCCCAGCCATGCCACATCCAGGCCCTGGGGCTTTGGGCGGCTGCCCTCGTGGACACACTGACATCTAGTTGTCAAGTGCTGCATACTACCTGCCGGTTCCCAGAATGTTCTAAAGAACCCCACAAGATGGGTGTCCTATGCCTAGGCTACAAGCTGTCTGAGGTTCCTAGACAGAAAGTGGCAGGGCTGGCCTGACAGACTCCTCCTAGCCTGGCCTGTGAGCCGGGAAGTCCTCACGGGGGTCTAGCTGGCAGCCCCTGCCTCCTGTGCCCTGTAGCTGGGAAGTGCCCACGGGGCTAGCCCCCAGCCCGGTGCTCACACAGGGGTACTCACGCCTGCAGTTGGGGAAGCCCCAGTAGCCTGTAGCACAGCGAGAGCAGTCACGGCCGATGACGTGGGCCCGGCAGGGACACTGGCCCCCAAAGGGCTCACAAGTGGGGCCTGTGGCACCCACCTCGTGGCAGCCACAGGGCCGAGCACCGTTATTGTAGAAGAGAGAGAGGGAGGCGGCGGCCTGCCGGCAGAATGGGGTGGAGCTGCTGGGGCTGCGAGGAGAGGAAGGGGTGAGGCCGGTGCTCCGCGGGCCACGCATGGCACACACCCCAGCGCCGCCCAGCCCCAACCCTGCCCACCTGATGTGATAGCCGTGGGCGGCACAGTGGCTGATGAAGTCATAGGACTTGTCCAGGGGCTCCTCCCTGAGGTAGCTGGGGCCATAGGCGTCCTCGGGGACCACCAACACGTAGTCCTGGGGAGGGGTGCCTGGTCACTGGGGGCCGGCGAAGGGCCTGGTCGGGGGAGCGCCAGGGCCTACGGGAAGGGGACAGCCCCGACCCTGCAGCGCCCCCTCCCTCAACCCCCCCATCCTCAGGCACTGCAGCCACCGCAGCGGGAGAGGGCATGAAAGACAGAGAGACCTCTCCTCTGCTCTGGTCCCTGCCTTTTGCCGACATCTCCCCCAGCCCAGTCACCGTCCAGGCCGGCCTCTGGAGGACCACTGCCTCGTCAGAGACCGGACACCTGTGAGATGTCTCCTCACTTGATCCTGGAGTTCCCAGGGGCAGAAGTGACTACACTGGTCTTGGCATGGTGGTGGGTGCAGCAGCAAGGGACACTCCCTAACTGAGACCCAAGGTAGGGTGATGGGCCTCAAGGAGGGATGAGCCCTGGGACTCACCAGCCAGAGCCACCGGCCCTCGGGCACCCGCACGGTCACCGTGAGCTCGCTGTCTGTCACGTCCAGCATGGTCCGGCCCTCACACGACACCAGCGTGCGGCACCCATACCCATGCGGGCAGAAGCTGGCATTGGCGTGGCCTGGAGGGGAAGACGGGGGCGATCAGGACGCCGGCTCGACCGCGCCCGGCTCCACAGCCTGTCCTAGGCCACGGCGCGAGCGTGGTGGCTCATGCACGTGCTCCGGATCTGTCTGCAGAGAACCTGCGGGGCCCTAGCTTGGGGACCAGCCCCGGCCACGCAGCCACGGGCTGGGGTGTGGGGGCAGATCTACCCAAAGCCCACAACCAACACGGGACAGAAACACGCCAAGAACTGTAACATGGGGAGGGGCTGTGGGGACAAGACTGTGGGAACAGGGTGGGAGAGGTGTGGCTGACACCCACAGCAGCCAGACTGCGTCCACCTGTCCCTGCCTGTGCCCGTGGCTGGCCACGGCGGCACAGCCACCCCTCCCCAGCCACTCACCCTGCCAGACCCGGCCTCCATGGATCAGGACCTCCACGGAGAAGGTGGGGTGGGCCGGCTGGTACCCGTGCAGCAGGAAGGCGTAGCGGCCCAGGGTGGGGACCTGGGTGGTGAAGACCACGGTGCCCTGCGGGGACAGGCTCGAATGAGTGGGCAGAAGTGGGGACATGTGGGGTCCGAGGCGGCCCCCATCACTGTCTGGCCCACGCCTGGGGTGGAGAGCAGAGGACTGAGCGCCCTGCCTGATCCCCTGCCCCCCCAACCCCAGCGAAGGCCCCGCCCGGCCAAGCCCTCACCTGGGGGTGGCGCAGCAGGGTGGGCTCGATGTCGGGGTCCACCGCGGTGGGGGGGCGAGGCTGGGGCCCGGGAGGGGCGGCTCCGGGGGCAAGCTCCTGGGAGCGGGTCAGAGGGAGGTCCGGAGGGAGCGGCAGCACCTGGCAGTCCCTCAGCACAATGGGCTGTGGCGGCTTCGGGAAGCGCGAGGGCACGCAGGCAGCCCTGGGGCGGACATGCGCGTGAGCCTGGACCCCGACCAGCGGGGCCCGGCCCCCCGCCGCTCCCTGCCCGCTACCTGCTGAGCCCGAAGGCGCCGTGGCTGCTCACACAGTGGACACGGGGCTCCACGAACTCCGTGCTGAACTCCTCCGCAGGCACCAGGGTGACGCCGTGCTGCGGACACAGGGAGGATGCAGCCACCTGGACCCTCAGCATCCCTCTGACTGCCCGCTACCCTCTGAGGCCCGGGCCGGTCAGGCTTCCCGCCGGCCCTGCACGGGCGGGTGGGCTCTAAGGACACGTGCGTCTACACCAGGCAGCTCCCAGCTGGGGGCCTGCGGTTTGCTGCCCTCCTCTCCCCTTGTACTCATGGAAGAAGCCACCCCTGGGGGCCCGGGGAAGCCAGGCTGGCCCCCGAGACCAAGCCGACCTCACAGCAAGGGCTCAACTCACCAGGAAGAAACGCGCCTGCGGAGAGGTGAGCCGGATGCTGGCCTCCGAGTCCACGTGGAAGGTGGCCAGGTGGTGCTGAGAGTCCAGGGTGGGGCCTCGGCACAGGGCGCTGGTGTGTGTGGGGGGGGGAGGTAATGGTCAGTGGGTGAGCAGCCAGGGACCCAGGCCTCACACCAGCACCGCCCCTGTTCCGGGCCCACCTGTACGGGCAGGGGTGTAGGGTGAGCGCCCCCTGCTGGGGGGCCCGCTGGGGTGTGTGCACAGCCACGCCCACCTCCTGGTCAGGATCTTCGTTGGTGTATTCCACCACCAAGGCATAGCGGCCCGGCCGAGGCACCATCACCTGAAGCTGGACGTCCACCTGGAGCAGGGGAGGGTGACCAGAAGCCCATGGCCCCTGCCCTTCCCACATCCACCCACCTTGACCCACAGCAGCCCCGGGCCAGAGAAAGGGCCGTCTCCACTTTGGGGCATGAGCGCAAGGCAAGCCAGGCAGTCTCCCCTCACAGACCAGGTCAGATGGGGACAGCAGTGGCCACATTGACCTGTCCGTGCTGGCTTCACGGTCCAGCAGCCTTGCCCCACACCTGTGTCCTGCCCTTCCCCCAGGGCCAAAGGCCTCGAGCACCCGCCCTCCCGGGCCCCTGGACACGCACGTCGATGCCCACGCAGGCGGCCAGAGGTGGGTGCGAAGGGCTGAGCTGCTCCGTGGGGCAGGGCCGGGGCAAGCTGTTGTCATGGCGACACAGGGCCTCGAGCCCGGACGCTGAGGGAAAGCCGTCCAGGGGGAGATGGGTGTGGAGAAGGCAGCTGAGGACAGAGAGGCTGAGGTCAGTCACAGGGACCCCCAGCACCCAGGAGCTGACCCCGGAAGGCTGCTGCTGGGGGTCCCGGCCCTCACCCCGTGGGCCCTCACTTTTCCTGGGAGTTCTGTGCAGATGGCCGGTAGGTGCAGGCCTCGGTCACTCGGAGCTGCAGGAGCGCCGCCTCATAGTAAGCGCTCGGCAGCAGGACCACGTAGTCCTGGCGAGGACAGGAGGCGGGTGCTGAGGCTCTTTGGCCCAGGGCCTGTCCCCCCACCTACCTTGGTCCCCGCCTCACCAGGAGCACCCCTTCCGCCTCCACAAGAAGGGCCCAGATGCCAGGGTTTAGTACAAAGGGCTCCCCAAAGCCCCTCTGGGGCACAGTGACAAAGGCAGGCTCAGTGCTGGGCAGAAAGGTCACCGGCTGGCTCTGCTCCGTGCCTGGGAGGATGGGGAAGAAGGAAGGGAGATCCTGCCTCGGCTCTCAGGCCTCCCCAACCTGACCCCCCTTCCCGTGGTGTGTGGGCACGCCCCAGGGCCAAGCACCCTTCCGGGAGTCGGGGGAGACTGCTGGGGCCGGAGGAATGGGGCAGCGGTGCAGGGCAGGGTGCGCCCGGCAGCCCCAACTCACAGTTGACACAGGCGACAAGCTTGGCCTCCTCGTGCATGGAGACCCGCCCGCTCACGCTGGTGGGCCCCCGGTTCACATAACGGAAGACCAGGCGAAAGAGGTCAGGAGAGGTCACGTTCAGCCTGGCCACAATCCTGGGCTGGGGGTGGGAGGATGGGCACAGAGTGTTAGGTCATTGGGGCCATGACCAGCATGGTCCTGTGACCCTCCCGGGTGCTGCCTGCTCTGCCGGCCACGCCAGGAGCTAGGGAGACATTCAGAGAGGCGGGAGGGATGGGGTGGGGTGCGGCGCCACCTGGATCGGAGACATGTGGGCGTAGCCCCTCCAACTGAAGTTCTCGAATTCCAGGGGGTTGAAGCCAAAGCGCACAGCGTGGCCTGTGGGCGTGGTCGCCTCCTCCAGCTCCAGCCGCAGGTGGTGCAGGCCAGGCAGGTAGTGGTTCTTCGCCGGCCTGTGGCAGCACAGGTGAATGGGTAGGTGGGCACGGGACCCTCAGAGCCACCCAGATCCCTGGGGGCAGCCAGGTCCCGGGTGCCCAGGGAAGGGACGCGGGGGTGGGGGCGCACTCCAGGGAGCTCACTCGCTGCAGGTGAGGCCCTGCGTGTTGGGCCGGCACCGGCAGGCCCCCGTCTTTGGTTCACAGCCCTGGCCCAGAGCACCACCAACATCGCACTGGCAGCCTGCAGCGAGAAGGGAGGTTGTCAGACAGTGTGCCTTGGCGAGCCCTCCCGCTGCGCCCGCCTCAGCACCTCACACCAGGCCCTGGCCTCCACCCTCCGTCAGCTGAGAAGCCAACTTTGAGGCTGGAGTCCCGGCTCAGAGGTGAGAACACTGGAACAGATCAGAGATGTTGGAGTCCGGGCAGACGCGGTGCCTCTTCCGCCTCTGCCAGGGGTCTGGGCGGCGTCGGGGCGTCGTGAGCTCAGACGACCACCCCTTAGAGACCGCGGCCTGCCGGACCCCGCGTCTCTCCTGGGCCTCCACCTCCCAGCCAGAGCCGGGGCAGCGGCGTGGGCCTGGCACAGTGAGACGCTTACTGTGGCAGCCGAAGTAGTCAGCCTGGTCCAGCCCGAAGAAGCCGTCCTTGCACGCGGAACAAGTCTGCCCACACACATGGGCCTTGCAGAAGCAATGGCCGCTGCCCTGGTGCCAGAAGAGAAATGGGGGGTGAGAGGGAGGTCCCCCCGGCCCACCTGCCCGTGGCGCTCGGCGCCCTGGCCCTCACTCACCGGCCGGCACTCCATCACTCCTCCCAGCGTGCCTCTGGGGTCGCAGCTGCATCCTGGGGAGGGCAGAGCAGGTCTAAGAAACTCAGGGGGCAGGAGGGCACGGGTGTCACCCACCCTCTCACCCCCACACCCCCATGAGGGCCGACTTACGGGTACAGCCCTCGGGGTTGCTGGAGCTCAGCCCCCAGTACCCAGGTTTGCAGCGATCGCAGCTTGGCCCCTCCACGTGAGTCCGGCACGTGCAGGGGGCCTGGGGAAAACAGATGAGACAGTGTAAGAGTGGGGCCCTGGCCTCGAACCTGCAACCTCCCAGTTCTGGAGTCTTATCAAGGGGGAGGGGGGCTCTCCTGCCCTGCCTCAAGCCCAGGATCCCCGGGAAGAACTAAGAGCCAACAGGAGGCACAGGCCCGCCCTGTGGTTGCCCTGGCAACTCAACAACAAGCAGGATGCTTTGGGAGGGGGTGTCAGGGGCTTGGGGCCAAGGCTGGCATGGCCCCCAGCCCCTTCCTGCTCAAGGGCCGGCCTGTGCTCACCTCAGGAAGCGAAGGGCTGGCTGGGGCCTGGCCTGCGGGGTGACAGGGTCCAGCTAGAGATAAGCAAGTCAGAGTCATTCCCTGGGGACTGGCCGGCCGGAACCGCATTCCCATGGGAGCAGGCACCACAGCCCATGGCTGTGACCAGGTGAGGACGTCTCTGGACAGCACCACCCCCACATCCTGTGACACGCACACACACGCACGCACCATGACCAGGTGAGGACGTCTCTGGA